CTATGAGAACATAAATATTTCAGGAACTTTTCCAATGCTTGGTTTGTTCATCTGTAAAATGGGAACATTAATCTTGCTTAAAAAAAAGTTGTTTCTGTGTTGCGAATATCAAAAACAACAAATCACAGGAAAACATCTTGTAAACCCATGGGAGAAATACCAGGTAATGCTATTTTTTTTCTCTTAAATGCTTATTTCTAGCCACTAATCACTCTCCCAAGTTCTAAGCTGCCATTTCTCACTCTCTACTCCTCCAGGACCCATTGAGTCAACCGGTCTCTGACAGGCCCAGGTGCTTCCCACGGCTTTCAGTGGCTGATCTTGCAGAAGAAGATCACTGGGATTGCCATTCAAGGTCCCTCTGAGTAGGCTTGAACCCCCAACCTTTCAGTCAACAGCTGAGTGCATTAGCCCTTTGCACATCCCAGGACACCTTTTCCTCCCCTGGTCTTCCCCGGGGATGGTAACCACCAGCCCTCAGGGGCCCAATGGCTGTCCAGAGACCCTGGTTCCTAGGGGCAGCAGTGCTCTGACCCTCAGGCACACTTCATGTTTTTGTTCCCTGCGTTGTTGTGCTGACAGATGCTGCATTGTTTTTAACTTCCTTTTTACAATTTTTGGCTTTGTTTTACAAAAGGTTTGTGGCGACTCTGGGTACCGTTTTTTCTTTTTAAATACCATGTGCTCTTTCTGTCTCTGGGTCACTTTTTGGTCATTTTCACCACCTTTGAAACTGTTTCATAATGCTATTGCACATAACTTTTAGTTCTGTCAACATAACTTTCATGGGCACTGGGACACCAAATATTTGTGACTTGCTTGCTTGCGGTGGTCTGGAAGCAAACCTGCAGTCTCTCTGAACTCTGCCTGCAGAGACCCTTCCACAGCCTGCTCCCTTTCCTGACCGCCGTACCTGTCGGCCAGAGCAATTGCTACCTGCGTGCAATTGAATGGTAAAACTGTGGTCTCCTCTTTGGCCTCTGTCACTACACTCCCCCCCCCACCCCCTTGCCCTATCCCATTCATCCCAGTTTTCTTTTCCTTCTTGTATCTTGCTGCCCCATTGAAACAGGCTGTGACCTAACTCCAGCCTTACATCACCTTGTGAAAAATCTTTCACCAGACTCGATGAAATGTGAAGCTGCGCTTGGCACATCTGTTCTAAGGATTAACTAAGACTCCATTTATCGATTGCATGGCATGTGTTAGTTCAGTTCTGTTTTTTAACTAACCTGGATGCCTCCATGTTGCCCAGTGGTTGCCCTCCCCCTACTTCTTTATCTTCAACATCATTCTTCACTTTGTCTGACCCCCCTCCTTTCCATCCCACATGTGAACATATCAAAATCAAGTGTGCCCTTCAAGGATTGTTTCCCAAATATAAGGCTGGGGCTTTCTACTCCCACGGTTAGTCTTGGAACCTCACAGGGGCAGTGCTACCTTGTCCTGTAGAGCCACTATGAGTCAACATTGGCTTGATGGCGGTGAGTTTAATTTGCTTGACTGGCGTCCCAAAGGGCCACCTCCTTCCTCTGAGCTATGAGTGACTCTTGTAGTTTATCTCCACGATTTGTGAGACACTTAATGCTGCTACTAAGTATGTTCCTTTTGTACAAATGCCATCACCTCTTAGGAGCTGGCGTGCTTTCTTTCCCTAATATATACTATTTACTTTAAAAAAAATGTCATTTTTGAATGCTTGAAGAATCGATCCATCCACTAGTCCATGGTGGGTTCCTAGACCTGCTGCAAACAAGTGGAAGGTGACTTAGAAGTAAGGGACGAGTGGATGATTGTAACAAGGAAAAAGACACCAGAGACGCTTCACATTCCGTGTGCTGATTTTTTTAATGAACATCTTACAAAATAACTGACTGTAGCTGTCTTACACAACAATACAGTAGATCAGCTTCTTTCTCTACAAGTCCCAATCAAGCCATTCCCTTGGGATACTAACTGGTGCACGCAATAGCAGTCTTGCAGAGTAGGGGAAGTGCCAAGCCCAAAGCCTTTTGCTGGAGGGAAGGGAGGGGAGAGGAAGGAATGAAGACTGCTCATATACAGTTTTCTGGGATCTGCCCTTGCTGCCCAGGCTGTTCTATCTGTGTCTCTCTGATGAGAAACTGGCAGGATTGTTATTCGAGTCAGCCCACCCTGGGCCAGGAGAAAGAAAGGCCTGGCAATCTACTTCCAAACACCAGCCAATGAAAACCCTACGGATCACAACCATCGGATAACTAAACCACCCTGGGCATGATCCGGACCTGGCAGTAGTTCCTGCCACTATGCGTGGCAGCCCCACTGGACAACAACGATGGCCCTGGGCAACCTGGGCATCAGTGGCCCCTAGTTACCAGGCAAAAGAAGAAGCAGAGAAGGGATTTTAGAAGATAATAAGGAGAAAAATCTCCCAGGAGGAAAGAGAGTGAAAATCTCCTGGGAAAGGCCACCCTGGTCCAATGGGTGGGTGTGAGCAGCCGAGTGGGGACCACCAGGTAGAGTGGGTAAGTCTGATGCCCCCCAGGGTCTGTGACCAGTCGCAATTCTTCAACACTACTGGCCACCGGAGGAGCAGGCAGATCTGAAAGCACTAAGTCCTAAGAAAAGGGACTAGAAGCATCTACCACCTTCAAGGGCTAGGACGGAGAAGGCTGGGCAACCTTCAGCCAAAAGGGCTTTTCACCCACATGATGACTGCCCCCGGCCTTTCCCGAGCAGCGGGACAAAGTATGAAGCAGTGCGACCATGCGGTGAACCTGAGCATGCACATACACTGAAATGAGACTCTCTCTTGCTGGGCTGTGGGGGACCGAAGCCTTCTCAGAGCTGGGGGAACACCTGGGACCCCCAACTCTTCTCCATCCCTAGACAAGGCAGGATTCTCCCAAGGTGGAGCTCACTGTGCTTCCAGGAATTTGGATCCTTTCCCCAAGGAAACTGTTTAGCAACATTTGATTGTCACTCATGAATGATCTATTTTCTCATTATGAAGCCTTACCGATTAGAGGCCCCCACAAAATGATCGTGGGTTAAGCCATACGTGTGAAATGAGGACATGAAGGTATCTAGGCCATAATGGGTTGGAAATATAGAAGGCGAGTGTTTCTGTTCTTTCCCTGTTCGATGCCTTTGTCACCCTTATTACACAGGCCCACGGATAAACATGTGCCTGGGCCCCTTCTCTTCGCCTTTTCCACTCCAGAATGTTGCTCTCCCCTGCACAGGTCTGCCTCAGGCTAGGCATGGGCCATGTCTCCTCTTCGACTGGCAAAGGCAGGGCCTCTTTGTGGAATGGAAAACAAGCAAGAGAGCAAAACAAAGGCCAGGACCAAGAGCAGACCATCTGGAGGGACCTCGGTGGAGCTCCTCATGTTATTCCCGCTGGAGAGGAACCAGGAAGGAGCTAAGTGTCACGGCCATCCCCTAAGTGATTAGAGCCGAAACCACTCTCCTTCCAGGCCTAATGGAGAAGTCATCCTGAAAGACAATACAAAACAAAAACGCCCTTCCAACTCCCACAGCCCCCAGGCAAAAATATTAAGCCTGGAAGGTGAATGGAGGCAAACGGAATCATCTTATGTCATGTCCGTCTACTGGACAAGGAAGGCTCAATAAAGATAACAAAAGGGACCCTCCACAGTTGAAATTCTTCTCTCTCCCCACAGAGTGTCACTCTTGCTCCACTTATTCTGTACAGCTTGTGTAATGCAAAAATCTCCGCGGGCCACAGATTTTACACATCACACTTGAATGGAATTTACCTTGGCCTCAACGTTGCACCCTTTGGCCTTCTTGAGAGACTTGGAACAAGAACTGAGTCTCCCTGACTCATTTCATTCTCTGGCCCTGGGGCCTGATTTAAACCTGACCTCTCATCTCTCACTAAGCTCCCTTGGCTCCTCCATCCCTGCCTACTCTTTCATCTGTTCCCACCTTCCCCAAGTCACTTCCATAAAATTATTTTCAGAAAAATCAACAATCCGTCACGTGACTGTGGACGATGGCCAGGTTTGGGACTTCTAACAAGGAGGAAGAACACTGGCCAGATATGAATGCGTGAGCGCTGTGATCTTGGTCACCAGGGAATGAAATTTAAGATGCACTTGTTGACTGATTGGCCGGGTGGAAGCCATACTTGCACCAGGCACATGTAGAAGAAAAGAAAACCTTGGGTCTCGCTAACTCCAAAGTAGAGTTCTAAGAAGTTAGAAAATATGCTATGTTCTTTTGGGATAGACAGTCAAGAATCCTTGGGTCCTAGTCTCCTGGGTGCTCATAATCAACTTTCCATGCTTCTTCCTACTGCCAAACCAACCCCCCACTTCCCCAAAGCAGGCACAGCTCCCAGCTCTTAAAAGGATGATCAGCTGACAGGGTAGTATTAAGAACTCCTCCTAATCGTTCTTCTTCATTCTCCACTTCCCATTCCACCTGCCGACCCCCGTCCAAAGAAAGGTAGCAGAAGGACTTGCTTATCTGTGCTCAAACGTTTGTCTTTCATTTTGGACATGATTTCACAGCAGCATATGTGGAACAATGATTAATTTTCAGCTTAGTAGACAGCAAAAAATATATATATTTATATAATTAGGTTTAAATACTCATAAAGAATTAATAACTAACATTATCATTAAGGAGACTACATAATAGAAGGGGTGGGGGAGAAGCCAGTTTAGCGTAGGTAGGCTCTGAAAGATGGGAGCCATTGATAATGGGCTTGAACAGAGTGTCCTGGCGACTTCTCGCCTAGGGTTCTCCTGCGGGTTTACAAGGTGGGTGGGACTGAAGAGTTGTCAGGGCGCAGTGTGTGGAGTAGGACAAGAGGTGAGGATTTGGGTTCAGAAGACTATAAAGGAGGGAGGAGCATCCTTTAGATAACTATCACAATCTTCTTTTCACTTTAATCAACCATCTTTTTGAAGAAACGTTTGCCTAAGATCCTTCCCTACTCAGGCCAGTCAGTGTCCTGGTTGGTCCCAATAAACACTGCTTCTCTACACGTTCTCCTGCCCTCTTCCCATGGCCTCTCTTCTTCACGCATCCTTCTACAGGGGCCTCACTTTCTTACTGCCTCCAGGGCCGCGCAGAAAGGGCTTGATCCCGCAGTCACTGGTTTTCTTCTGCCTTGGGGTCCCGGCAGGTGCACTCATCCAGGTCGCAGTCAGCAGCGAAAGGAATGACCTGGGGGAAGAGAAGAGCGCTGAGAGGACCCCTTGGCTACTTTTCACCCAGCCTTCTCGCTTTTCCTCATTGGTCCTAGAGGAAAGGTGGATGCTGTCACCAAACTGAAATGCAAACAGGTCTCTCATTGCCACACCATGTTGCCAGAGGCAATGGATGCCTCCCTGGCTTTGTTTTCCTCCTCTAGAAAGCAAGAGATCAGCAGTGACAGCCACCTGCAGGGGGGGTGGGGGGTGTGAGTAAGACAGTGATCGTAAACTGCTTACCGGGTCAGGCATCTTGTAATTACTCTAGGACCGTTAGTACTGCTACTTGTCCGTTGCCATCATTTCTACAACTCCGGCTCTTAGCACAGTGCTTTCACCTTCACAATAGCTAAGTCAAGGCTTCAGCATCTAGCTCTCAGACACCTACTTCTTGGCATCATTGGGGGCAATAGGATTATCTTAGCTATCTTTATCACCAAGAATTTTTGCCCTTTTAAAAACCACAATATGCTTTGGTTCTGTGAAAGAGTACATCTCCTCTATGATATTGCTTGGGGCCAGATTGTCTTCGTTATACAGTTGCCTTCCCATGGGAGCAGATAACCTCATGTTTCTTTTGAAGAGCCGAGGGTGGGTTTGAACTGCCTACCTTGAGATTGGCAGCCTCATGCTTAACTGAGAGAGCCACCATGGCCCCATAGCCCTAGAGAGCTCAGGCCAATTTGCTGTCTTCCAGCATGAATTGGTACCAACAGACAGCACTTTTTTAAGTGCCCATGCTATTATCCAAAAAGAACTCTTGTGGCACTGTGGGTTAGGCATTGGGCTGCCAAGGGAAATGTCAGTGTTTCAAACCCATCAACCTCCCTGCAGGAGAAAGAGGAAGCCGGCTATTCCTGTGAAGTTGTACCTGGTTGGAAGCCCTGGAGAAGGCTGCAGTGGATTGGAATGAGCCCAATGACAATGAGTGTGCTAGCGTCAGAGGAGCAGCACTTGGAAGACATGGTGAGAAGCAATGGCAAAGAGCCTCCTCTTTTGGAGGCTGGGCATTAACTGGGCAAGAATAATAGCTTTACAGCATACACTAATGGTCCAAGTGGGCTCAGGAGATGGAGTGGGCAACTGGGCAAGCAGGCTAGAAAATGCAAAGAACCATCTGGGTAAGTTTTCCAGGACGCTTGCATATAGGAAGTAAACTGTGACATAGACGTCAGCAGCAGGGCGATGTGGCTGCCTGCTCAACTCTGACTCTGGAACACCTTGGCCGCTGGCCCTTTGTTCAAGGTCAATTCAAGATGTGCAGAGTGGGGAAGGAGCGGAGAATGGGTTGTTTTCTCCCTAAGGGATCACACTGCCCTGTGGAGAGATGACCTCTGGGACCATGTGAGCAGAGGAGCTAGGATTTCTGATCGGCAACCTAGCTCCCGATCCATTTCTCTCGGCTTGGGATGTATCGGTGTTTCGAGCAAAAGGCCAAATTGCACAGGGACATGATGATCCCCCGAGCGCCCTGCTTTAGATGAGGTCAGCCATGAGAGCGGTGAGGGCAGCGGCTGGCACACCGGGAGTGTTCCAGATACGTGTGTTCATGGATGCGTATGTATGGTAGGCATGGCTTCATGTGCAGATAGTAGAAGGAAGGAAATAAGCAAAGTACATAAGATCGATGTCTTACATATTTTGCTCTTTCATCAAATTGGCCAAACTAGCTCCGAGTACCCTTGGCCCCCTTGGAGTGTTAGCCATAGTAATACAAAATGCCAGTGGACTTGATTTCATAGGTTTATTTGGAGCATATCTGTAGTACAAGAGGGGTCAAAGGTATCAAGAAAACAGCTGAGATTGTGGTCCAGAGAGTTCTCCAGCTGACCATGGCAACCACTCCACATGCACCCACGATGTGCGCCCAACACACTGTGTATCATTCTTTACTTCATCAGACAAGTTACTAACTGGTTAGCATTTCCCTGGTAGTCACGCCTCCCCAAGTGCTGGAGGCTGTACTGCCCCTTCCTACAAAGAAGGTCTAGGAAAAGTGAGAAACAGGTGTGAGTCTTTTGTGGCTATAGGGCCATGTTTTTCTGAACCAGCCACTTTACTGACTAGTAAAGAACAAGTATGTTCTGTGAACCCATTCTAAAGTCCATTCCCCTTAAACCTATCTCTTGAGAAGTTCCCATGCCTGTCCACTGTAAGTAATCCTTCTTCTGGATTGCTGACTCAAAACCAATTATGGTACACTGTGAAAAAGAGCTCGCCACCACATCTGCCTTTGTTCCTACCCGGCTGCCTCCCCTCCCCTCCCAGGTGCCCTCACTCACCTTCTTGGAGGAGAGTGTGGAAGAGCAGCAGTCTCCTCCGTCGTAGTGGCAGTAGGCCCGGTTGTTGATAGTATCACACCACCCGTCTGCTTGGAAAGGCTGGCAAGGAGATTCAAGTCAGTGTCTCATTCAGCTTCACGATGCCCCACCTCCTCTGCCACCAACATAATCCACGGAATTGGAGAGCGATTACGGTCAAGCGTTCAGGGCAGGGTACACATTGATCTAACATTCTCAAGAAATTAAAACGTCTCCAGATAAAACCATTGGACCAAAGACATTGTCAGATTTCACCTGCAGCATCAACCTCTGTGCTACTGAAGGGCCTAAGTGGCTCACATAAACCAGCTGGCTATTTTGACCACAGCCATGTTATCATATGGTGCTATGGGCTTGGTGTTGGACTGCTAACCACAAGGTTTGCAGTTCAAGCCAACCAGCTGCTCCAAGGAAGAAGGATAAGCCTACCTGGTCCCTAAATATTTATAATCTTGAAAATCCTCTATAGGGTTACCAGGAGTCAGGAAGGATCGAAGAGGAGTGAGTCTGGGGCACATTGTGGGTATATGATCAGGAGGGGCTGTCTCAAGGGAAGGACAGCCTGCTTGGTAAAGTACAGGGTTAATGGGAAAGAGGAAGAGCTTCCACGAGAGGGACCGACACAGCGGCAGCAATAATGCAATCAAGCAGGGCCATGGCTGTGAGGGTGCTGCGGGTCTGGGGTATCTCATTCCGCCTCCCATCGGGCTGCTATGAGTTGGAACCAACAAGACGACATCTCACAACAAAACAATAGTCTCATGTACGTCCCAGGGTGGTACAAAGGGTTAGCAAAAAGGGTCCAACTAGAGAGATCAGGGAAGAAAGGCCTGGAGATCCACTTCCCAGAACTAAGTCCTTGAAACCCCTCTGGTATATCATTCTGATTTGACCCTGATTGGGTCACCTTACATGAGAATCAACTTCTCAGCAACTAGGGATTCCATCTCTAAAAGGCAGTTCCACTTAGTTTGACTGCTCGGCTTCAGAACTGCTTGTGAAATAGACAGTCCATCAGCAGAGATGCAGGAGGATGACATATGCAAAGGTGAGGCAGATTTGGAGGGTAGAAGC